ACAAAAAAATAATAATAGAAAAACAAAAATCACATTCTGAGCCCTCTTGTTTGCAGTATTCCAATAGTGTTTTAAAATTGACACCTTACCATGCAAATTATCGCGATACTATGCCGTTTCGTTTCCCCTGCTGCCAACCCTAATCATCACATGCTTACGAATAGTTTTATTGAAGTGAAAACAGCTAGACCGGTTATCAAACATAAATAAATAAATCAGACAGCACCCTGTTAAAACAGTCATTTACATACCGCTGATTCTTGTGTTGGCTTGAACAAACATCTTGCGAGCCTCCTTCCTCAGCAGCACCGTCTCGCGCAGGCGCAAAAAGTTGTGAGCGCCAGTGTCGCTTACGGTGGAGTAGTTGTCATAGAAAGCCCTGCCTCCTTCCACGTCTGCCGTCGACTTCAAGACCTACAAATCAGTTTACAAACTGTGGATTCAGCTTAACAGCATACTGAGTGAAATCAACAGAAAGACGACAATAAAGCTTAGATGATGGCTTAGAGTAAACTTAGGTGGAAAGTTTGGATCAATCTAGTTGCAAAACAAGTTACAAAAGCTTGACTCATTTCATTGTTTTGTTCAACCCTCAAATTTAAATCCTAACTATAAGTTACTGCAAAAGTAAATAATACACAAATTCACATTTGCCATGGTGCACCCGATTAAGTTTTAATATATATATTTTTAAAGATAAAACACTCAACTGCTAATCAAAATTGTTGCTGCTTAATTTTCTGCTTCATTGATTTTAATACAAAAACAAATAGAGGGTAGTGTAGTGGTGCATGTAGCTGTCAAATCGACTCTAGTGAATTATTCTATTTTGCATCCATTGATTGGAGAAGTATTGATTACCTGCAGTTTACAAAGGAACCTATGGATGGCGTTCTTGCCTACGGTGGGGATCTTGCTTCGGTCCAGTGTAATTCGTGCATCGGGCTTGCCATCTTCTCCTGTTACTTCCTCCAGGCCCACCAGGCCCTCTCCAGCCTCCAGCAGCACGCGTAGGATGACGAATCGAGCCTGCATGTGAGCCTGACGCAAACACATAACGCCACATACATTTGACATACTGTCTAACAAACAAACTGAAATTTACCATCAGCTTATTTATAAAAATGACACAGACGTATCGAGCTGAGGCTGTAAGAAACACATAGTCAACGTTCTGTATGCTTGATTGTAGAAACTGTTCAGCTAATACTTTGCAACTTTGAAGAAGAAGTGAAAAGAGGCCACTAGTAAGAGGAAAACTGCTCAGTGAGCAGACACATTACCTGTCTCCAGCTCTTGCTCTCAGGTGTGTAGAACTCCAGGCCCAGCAGTCCCGCTCTGACCATGCTGAGCCAGTTTATGTACACCACATCATCTGCATCCTGATCCTCATGGCCAAAAATACTGGCACAGAAACACATGGATGTAAACACACCGACCCCACAGGGAATCAGCCACACTCTTGAACATACATAATGACCACTCCCCCCAACCCACTTATATATATTTAACAAAAAAAACATCCATGTCCACAAACTGGAGTAAGACTGAAAAATAACTGTAAAAGTGGACTGAAGAGCTGCTTAAAGTTTCCAAACATCCAAATAAAGTGAGCACTATTTCACTTGGCTCTGGAGTTTGTTTTTTTAATATTCATTACATATTTAAATAGATTGAAAGCCTTTGTTTTTGTTCCCAAAAGACTCTTGGATCCCACAAATATTTTCCCAGCTGCAAAAATCTGTCAGTTTATGGAAATTTGAGGGAGACTTTTCAATCCAAATGTGACTTTTATTTTCTTATTTATACAGTTTATTTGATCTCCTTTTTATTTTTACTTTATGTGCAATATTTGCTTCTCTACATGAAATATTGAGGAGGTGCTGAGCCTAAGAATTTTACTGCTGGGAGTGATTGTTACCTGTAGACGGCAATAAGAAAACTTTTTGGTTAAGGTGGGATGTGTAAGTTAGTTTAACATATATAATACACATTTATTACAAGATACAGTGTGCAGGACATACCTGAGCACTTGTTTGTTGAGGCACAAATAGAGTCCGACACACTCAGCGCGGCATTCTTCATAAGAAGAAGCAATCGTGGAGAACTTACTGTCCCAGGTCTCGCTGCCCCGATACCAGCTGGACACCTGAAACGCATGTTCACACATTAAGTCTCTCTTTTATTCAGCAACTGAAAACTAAAGCATGAAAATGGCCATAAGATTTGAAAACCAGACAGAAAGGTGCACACAAAAACAAACTCACCGGTTCACCGGTCTCTGGGTTGATCACCTTACTTTGGTCAAAGTTAAACTTGCCCTTGTCATCCTATGGATGGAGAATGAGGACACACAAATAGAAAACTAGATTTATTCACTGATTTTTTTTAATTGTCCAGAAACATTTTACAAAGAGGAACTGACTATATCTGCTGCTCTTAACACACCACAGGAAGTAAACAGACCTGGACAAACAGCTTTCCGCTCCCATGACCCAGAAGCTCGTGAAGTCCAACCTGCACTTCGAACGACGGGCCCTTCCATTTGATAAACAAATCCTGGAGAATACAGAAGAATCAGGAGAATGTATTATTACACAGGTGTGTGAATGGAAAACAGAGATGGTGTTTAAGAGAATCAGAAAAATGTGTAAAATACCTTGTCCCCCTCCTCCAGGAAGGTCAGTTTTTCTTTTTGCGTTGCATAGGCTACAGCCAGCACGTTACCAAGTGACACGTTTTTAAAGCCCTCTGTCTGTCTGATGTCATCGTCTATATAAAAACAAACAAACAAACAAACAAACAAGCTCGCTCAATGCTGTAATTAAGCTGGACTCAGCTGTTTGACAGTGTCAGAGATTTCTGCGCACGTACAGTTGGGGATGTTGATGCCGGCTGGTATTCCACTCCCAGCGAAGGTGAGAACGTCCAGTGAGGTGAAGTCCGGTTTAAGGAACGTATCCTTCTCAAACTCCTGCGGCCAAGGCAACTCAGGAAGCAAGACTTCTGCTGAACTCACCAGTTTGGCGAAACGCTCACTCATCGCCTTGTTCACAACGGCCACAAAACCTAAAACAGCATGATGCAATAAACTTAGGACATCAAATCCACCACGTAATTTTTTTAATGCTCATTTCCAGGTCTGTATTTTTATTTTTCGACTCTACTGGAGTAGTTTTGCATGACTCACAGCTTAAATTGTTATTCATCCGTCCCTTGGTGCACACACTCAGATTTTCCACCGTTTGAAACAAGCTTTTTTAGCTCCCTTCCCCCTCCCTTTAACACAAATTTTTGCTGATCGCCATGTGCCTGAAATAACCATATAAGGGATCGCCACTCTCACTGACATCACACAGAGCCAAGAGTAGGTTGGGAGAGAAAAAAAAAATCCTTATCAGTCTCAAACTGATAAGGATTCATGGACAGTTGGACATATGCTGCCCAAATTAGATCCAGCATTTCAACAGTAGTACTAAACAACATCCTTTACAGTGCGTGTTCATTTAAAGACCACAGGCTGCAATTACTATTGGGGCAAAACACAGAAATGTATCCAGTGGAGATGCTAAGTCCATCTACTTAAGTAAGCTCAGCCAACCAGCAGGAAATAAAACCCGAAGAGACCCATAAGATCACAGCTTGCACAACAATAGTCATGACAGTATCGCTCTTCTTCATCAGCTTGGCACTTACCTTCAAACTCTCCTCTGGAGCCAAATGGGTCTCTGTAGCTCTCGATGAAACCTATATAACTGAGAGGAAGCAAGACCGGGGAGGAAATGAAGGGATAATAAGGAGTAGAGTAAAGAGCGGTATTCATCCACAGTGCAAAGGTCAGAATGAGTTTTATGGGGAAGTAAATAGGCAGGAAATATAATAAATCAATTTCACTGTGCAGCAGAATTTAAACGGTGCTAAAATAGTCCCTCTCTAAAATTCATCGGGATCTCATAAACGTACTGTGCTGCTGATTAGTGGACTCACCTCTCCACAATTGGCCCCTTGTCTTTAATCCAGTAGCGCGAACCCTCTTTATGTGCGTCAATGGAGCCTAAGGTGAAGCTGCGTGTGTACTCTTCAAGCATCTTCCTCTGGTTCTCATTGGCAGCATAGGCCTGCAAGACATTCACAAACAAATTCTCTTTTAACAGGGGTTGGGCAGGGCACTTTGTCACTTGCAACTAGTGCAAAATGCTGCGGCACGATTTTTAACTGGCAGAAGAAAATTTGACCACATCACTCCGATTTTGGCCTCTCTACATTGGCTTCTAATTGAATTTAGGATCTGTTTTAAAGTCCTTTTATTGGTTTTTAAATCTCTAAATGGTCTGGCACCTGTTTATTTGTCTGACTAGTTGAAGCCCCACGTCTCCATTCGTTCCCTTCGGTCAGCTGAGCAGTTGTTGCTTTCGGTCCCAAAGTCACGGCTGAAACTTAGAGGAGACCGAGCGTTCTCTGTTGCAGCGCTGATGCTTTGGAATAACCTTCCTCTCCATATTAGACAGGCTACATCAGTGCCAGTTTTTAAGTCCTTATTAAAAACCAATTTTTATTCCCAGGCTTTTAACTCTGTGGGTAACTGACTTTTGTATTAATTTTATTGCTACGTCTGGTTTCTGCTATTTTATTACTATATTTATATTTGTATTGTTCAGCACTTTGGTTTACCAGGTGTGTTTTTAAAGTGCTATATAAATAAATGATGATGATAATGATGATGAACAAAACAAAAATTATTTTATAACTAGAACTCTGACAGAAACATTTTTTGGTTGTCATTCACTCCATATTCTTGTAAAGACAATTACTGATATTTTACTAACCCAACTTTATGTTTTAGATTTAAATGATAAAACTGGTATTCATGTAAGCTCCACTGCATTCTTATCCGTCTCACCTGTGCTTTTTCAACATAATAGCAGACTTTTTCCATGACACGGCTATAGTCTCCCCTCCTCACAGTGAACTCTTTGTCTTCAAAGCTGAAGCTGCCACAGCAGGACTCGCACTCCCCATCCACTGCGCAGTCTGTGAACCAATTGTTTATTTATTTTCATTAATATATATTGGAAGACTTTTTGCATGCCGTTTTCCCCCTTTGTTTTGGCTTTTTTAACTGCAGTTTGACCTTTTTGCACAGCTGAAGCCAAGCGGACCTCATAGCAGGTTTTCCCTCCGTCTTCCTTCTTAAACAGACGCGTGTTGTAGGCAGACAGTTTCTAGAAACAAGCGACAAGAATAAACTGAGTAAGACTCAAAGGCAGATTAAAAACACATTTATTATAAGAATGAGATTAAAAGAGATAAAAGAAACAAAAAAACATTTAAAAGATTTATTTTTGATGTGAATTTGCTTACTTTTGAGTCGAGGAACTTCTGAGCCAGCTCAGCATCCTCCAGGCAGCAGTTTCCTGAGAAATAGGTGGTAATTCCCTGAAGCAAACAAAACAAATAGAGTCAATGAGCCATGCATCCTCTCACAGGGAACAATCATATTTACTGCTTTCCTAAAAGGCAGATAAAATCTCAGAATTAAGGGGGGTGGGGGGGGAGAAGAAGAAGAAGAAGTCAAAATAAAGCCAAAGAGAACGAAACTTTTGCAGCTGAGGCCAAAACCATTTGTCACATTTCTCTCATCTATGAAAACCACTGGCTATTTAATCAAAATTGTTAACCAGCCAGCCTGCACTTGGCTTTAAATGATTAAAAGATCCCACCTTGTCGCCCAGCCCCAGCTGTTTCTGTCTGTTTTCCAGCGAGTAGAGGAGACAGGAGCAGCTGTCCCACAGAGCCTCCATCTCAGCCGGCTGCTCCTGAAAGGCCTGGCTGGCCCAAACCAGCGCTTTCAGCTTGTCCTAGTGTACATGCCACAGATGCAGACAGTTTAAAAGACAGCAGCATTGTTTTCAATGATAAACACATCAGATTACACTATATCAGGCACACTTGTTCTGAACACCACTGATATTTGTCAGGTTTCTAAAGTTACATTTCGTTAGCTTCGTGTTTACACTCTACGAAGCTGCTTTTACAGTTGTCCTCAACCTATAATCTGGTTAAAAAGTATCTACACTGGATTGACAACTCTTACTGCAGGCCTTTTTTACCTTAGGCAGATTTGGGATGAACTTTGTGTCTCCAAAAGACTTATAGTTGCCCATGTTTGCATACAGACCTGCTGCATACACCAGAAAGGCCTGAATATCATAAACGAGAAAACATTGAAGAAACATTTTTATATGACTGCAGCCGTTGTGGATGAAAGCTTGTTTTAGAAAGAAATGAAACGGCAGAGAGACGGCGAGGCCGTGTACCTGATACTCCTCAGAGCTGAGCCCAGCTGCTGTGGCGACCTGTTCCAGCTGTGCAGGCGTCTGCTTTCTGAAGATTCTCTGCAGCAAGACAAAGATGTTTGCAGACTCGGGGGATGTCTGCAGCAGTACTACCAGACCGCCATACCTAAGACAAACGTTCAAACAGATGTATTTACATTTGTTATTTTTAAAACCAGCAGGACGGCAAATTTTAAATAACCTGAAGTCTTTTGTTGTTTCGAGAAGGTGAAACATGTAATTTCAGAGTGTTGATATTCTCACATCTTTGCATTAGTAACATACCAAGACGCGCGTGACAGGTAGTGGGCGTACATCTTCTCCTGAGGTGAAAGCAAACGAAAGGCCTCGCTGCAGTCGAGTGCGGAGATTCCAATGTCATTTGGGAGGTAGTACTGGGAGTCCACCATCTTGAGTCTGAACGTTACACTGGTACTGTATTAAAATAGCAGGGAAGGAAAGTTGGGAACATGTTAGGAGCAAATGTGGGACAGCAAGATAAGTGGTGCTTCAAGTTAGAACCTACAACTTTCTTTTTTTTAAACCGTGGGTATTTGCACACCTGTCTCTGTCAGGCAGGACACGCAGAGTAGAACAGCTTGTGTACGATACAAACATACTGATATTTACTTGCAACAGTCCTACAGATACTAGAATGACTTCTATGTATAATTATTTTAAGAGTCTTTTTAAGAGTTTGTTTAGAATTCTGTATATAGAAGATAAAATCTTGAATAATCATCAAGTATAGCTTTGATCTTAAACTGTTTGGGTTTGCCAGCTTCTTGTTCTTCCTCTTCTTTTGGTTGGTCCCTTTAGGGGTCACCAGGTCATCTCACCTAATATCTAGCATCCTCCTCTGCCACACCAATCCTTGAACTTCTTCTGTGGTTGTCTTCTTTTTCTCCTCCCTTTGCAGCTCCATATTCAACATCCTTTGTCCATTATATCCACTATCCCTCCTCTGCGCATGTCCAAAACATCTCAGCCTTGTCTCTCTAACTTTGTCTCCTAACTGGTGACAGTTAGTTCATTTCTGAACTTATCCATCCTAAGAGGTGAGGGTGGGGTGGTGGATAGGTGTGGAAAGGGGGGGAGACGAAGGGGATGGTAAGGGGATTGATATATTTTGGAACTGCTGTGAAAAATAATAGTATTAATAATAATAGAAATTAATAAATAGATAAAGGAAGAAGAAAAATGAACAAGCAGCCTATAGAGCAGGGGTGGGGGAACTCCAGGCCTTGATCCAACACAGCTGATTTAAATGGCTAAATGACCTCCTCAACATGTCTTGAAGTTCTCCAGAGGCCTGGTAATGAACTAATCATTTGACTCAGGTGTGTTGACCCAGGGTCCTATCTAACACAGCACGACACTGGCCCTTGAGGCCTAGAGTTCCCCAACCCTGCTATAGAGAGTCTACAGAGCTCCTCAAGCAAACATGTTTGTCACAACAGTATATTTAGATCATAAATTTGATTGCAAAAGCTGCCAGGCTTAAAAAAAAAAAAAAAAAAAAATACATACCAGGTCTTACTCTTGCACATTTTCCCTTTCAGTTTTGCTGCTATTCTTTTGTCAAATTATTTCTGTACTCATCTCCACCACTCCCAGCTCAACCCTGCCTGCACTTGCTTCTTGACCCCTCTTGTGCACAGTTTGTCCCTTTAACATCTTTACTGCCTCTACTTCATGCATCTTCACTGTTAAAAGTGTTTCCTTGTCATTCACACACACACGTATTCTTGTCTTGCTTCAGAGACTTTCATTACTCTTGTCTCCAGAACATACTTACACCTCTCCAGTCTCTCTTCCACCTGCTCTATATTCTCACTGCAGCCCCCAAAGCTGGAGACTCCAATCTGACCTCATCTGTCAGCCTGTCCATCAATGCTGCAAACAAGAAAGGGCTCAGATCTCTGATGTAATTCCACCCCCACCTTAAAATCATCTGTCACTTCTACCACACCACACCTCACTTACCTCATGTCCTTCACCACCCTCACAGTCTTGTCTGCCACTCCTGAATTCCTATCCAGTACTATAGTTGCTCTCTTGGTACCCTAATATACTCAGATTTTCAGTTTGCAATAAAACACAAAAGGACTTCACCTAATGATTTTAGTTCCCAAATAAGTTTTTAATGATTCTTAGAAATTAAGACTAATTCTTTAATAGATTGCCCTGCTTATTTTTAATATACTTCAATTTGGAGCTGTAGTGGTTAAAATAGAGCATAGTGCAGTGGCAAGTAAATTAAGATAAGATAAGATAAGCTTTATTGACATTGTACGCACAAGCGTACAAAGAAACTGGAATTACATGAATTGAAGTGTGGTCATATTTCATATTTCGGAGAAGCAGTAAAGAGAGAAGCTTTTGTGACAACAGGCGCTGATCGTCCAGTGAACCCTGACTTGTGGGGACCGTGGCACAGATTCAAAATCAGTTAATATTACTCGAGCCTGTTTTATTTTCCGTTTCACTTTCCCCCCAAAAAACTACAGTAACTGATATGAAGAGAAGCGTCTACACACGAAAATAAATCCTGATTGTGTCTCTTTTAAAATCAGCAGCCTACTATCACCAACACAACGATTGTACGTGTCTGAATTAAGTATGAATACAGAGGCTACAGCTAACTGAATAACGTTAGCTTCCCGAGTGCATGCTAAGACGGCTGCATTTAAAGACTCGGCGACTTCTGTAAACAAAACAAATAATCACAAAATGTGCAAGTCATTAATCGGTGTGACCGTCTGCTAACTGATACACAAGTGCGATAAATATAAATATAAATATAAATAAAGGTAAAAGTCAACTCAAAAACTCGTTACCTTGATTCCGTTATAGCGCTGAGCGAATGTCAAATTGCAGTCTCACGCTGCACACTTCCTATATTCATTCAACGAGAGAATCAGCCCTCAGCCAATCAGAGGTTGTATATCGTGGCCGATGGAAACTTTAGCCAATCACTGAGCAGCTATGCCGAGCTTTTTTAACGCGTTTCACATTGTAAATTTGAACAAGATTAAGTTTGAAGAACACCGCCGTTAACCACAGCAGGAAGGTTCAGGAAATGCTAACAGAGAAACAGAGACGATAGCAGTCAGATAAGTGTGTATATGTACCAAAGTCTTCGGAAAGGTAGAGCACATGACGAGGTGGCCGAGTGGTTAAGGCGATGGACTGCTAATCCATTGTGCTCTGCACGCGTGGGTTCGAATCCCATCCTCGTCGGTCTCATTTTACAAGCACGAAAAATTTTGAACATTGTTTGTCCCTGATACATTCTCGCGCTTTAGCTTGCTGCTAAACATGAGTTATTCAGTCGCACAACCGGAACATCGAAGGGTCAAAATCCTACAAACTCGTTGGGCTATCACTCAACAGCGCCTCCTGCCCTTCCTGACAGCCCTACACCATCTCCTCCTCTTCATTTCTGGCCCTGATATTGAAATTTTGGCTTAGGAAAAATCAGCAGTCTTTCAGCTGCTTAGCACACAGAGCTTTAAAACCACAACCACACATTCTTTCCTTTCATCTTCATTTAAACCAACACAAAGCACACAAAGTTTCTTCAGTTTTAAAGGTTTTTATTGAATTCTAAAAAAAAACCAAACAAACAAAAACAAAACAAAAAAAATGATGGCAGACTACATTATTTACAAAAGCTGTGCAAGAGGACAAAAGTGAAAAGTTTTCTTGATGAGTGGATAGCAGTTTTAGACAAATCTTAACAGACATTTGCATTTTAAGGACATCCGTGCGTGTTTGATTATTTTTGGTTTCATGCTTGGGTTTTCACTTCCCTCCTCTCAGGAGGCGTTGTGGGGAGTATCCAGCGATAGCAGTCTGAAAAGCGAAGGCTCTTGTCCACAGCACAGCTGGTGCAGTAAACAATCCCCAGAGCTAGCATTACTACCAGGAACACACACAGGGGCACCAGGAGGGCCACGAGCAGCCAGCTCTTGTCGTGCTTCCGTTGACCTTCAGCAGACTCTGCTTCTGCCGTAGCTTTGACGCTAGCTTCTTCTGCACCACCCATGTTAGGTTCCTCTGAATTTGAACCATTTGCAGTGTCCTCTGCCACACCTGGACCAGAGTCTCTACTTCCTGCATCAGCATCCACACCATTATTAATTTCATTGTCTATGTTGCCTTTTTGCGTCGGGGACGGGGATGTCTGATATCCCCTGGGTGACAGGGTGTCCCACTGGTTTAGGTGATTTCCTGACCTGTGAGACCCATCAGGGGGAAGTCCTTCAGGGGCCTCTGTCACCCAGTCAGCATCAAAGTTGGTGTCAACTTCAAAGTTTGGGTCAGGAGTGAATGAAGAGGACCAGGGAATATCATGGTCAAAGATGGCTACATGAACAGAGTTACCTGGGTCGGGGGTCAGAGTAGAATACTCTTCGTCTTCAAGCGAAGGCTGGCAGGTGTGTCTGTCTAACTGCAGGTCGTAGCCATTGTCGCAGAAACACTCGTAATCTCCGATGAGGTTGAGACAGTGCTGTTGGCAGGGCGACTCCCTTGCACACTCATCTATATCTACACACTCTCCTTCGCTGCCCACCTCATAGCCAGCGCCACACATGCACCTGAAGGACCCCACTGTGTTTTCACACACACCCTCACAGCTGCCATCATCGAGGCATTCATCCACATCCACACACTCGCCCTCGTCGTCTGGCTGATACCCTGAAAGGCAGGTGCAGTGGAAGGTACCTGGGATGTTGACACAGAGCTGGGGACACGGTCCTTGCTGACATTCATCTACATCGGAACACCTGCGGCCATCTGGAGCCATTTGATAGCCTGGGGGGCATGTGCACCGAAGACCCCGTTGGGTCTCCATGCAGTTATACTCACACCCCATCTCCACACAGGCCGGGTTGATGTGAGGCAAGTCGGTGGGACCTGCAGAGTCAGATAGCTCAGGTGGGTTGGTTTGGCTCAGCGTGTCAGGCTTGCAGCTGTATCCATCCTTATCTACTGTGAAGCCCTCAGAGCAGTAACAGTAGTAATCTGTGTCTGTGTTCTGGCAGTGCTGCTCACATCCGTGGTTCTTGCTACACCAGTCTTGGCTCTGTGGTTCCTCAATGGGTGGACAAAGTGGAGAATCGGTGGACCAGCCCACTGTTTCGTCGTCTCTCTGGATGCACAGAGCAGTCTTCTCAGTAGGATCTGGATTTGCGCCGTCTGCAGGGCATTGCACGGTGGCCACAGACCCAAATGGCACATGAGTCAGCAGACTGCTGGCAAGGTAAAATGGGGTGGTGTAAACAGGTGAACCTCTACCCTCATCTTCAAGAGGTGGGCACATGCCTTTGTAGTTGTACTGGCAAACATAGCCATTCAGTGGAACCGAGCAGGAGCCGTCAAGCCACTGGAAGTTTTCTTCGCTCTCACGCCCGCTCTCAGATGTGTGAACAATCATGGAAACGCAGCGATAGACTCCACAAGTTGATGGGGAGTATTCTTTGAGCCAGTCGGTGAACTGGACATTCTGGTCTCCTGTTGTAAAACACAAAGACAAAGATTAATAAAATAAAATAAAATAAAATATGCAAGTTTACTGTGTATTTGAGTTTTGAGAGCTACTCGACACATTTAAAGGATGACCTTTATCATAAACAAAGATCCCATATTTACAGTCTACATGTGCTGATATTGTCATATTTGGAAAATTTGTGCAGTCATTAATTGCATTCAAATGTGTATACGTGTGTGTGTTTGTGTGTTTTAAATTTGCCTCTAGGAGTCGCCAAAGTCAAAACAAAGTCTGACTCACAGGCACTTAAAAAACAAAAAAAAAACCAAAAAAACCCGCCACAGCAAAATAATGTTGTATTCTACCCCCCACGAGAGTGGAGGTGGGGGGTGGGCCCAACAAAATGATGGGGAGGTTTGCCTCTAAGCTGTTCTGTTAACAAGCAGGCTGCAGAAATGCCTGCAATATATATTTAAGGAGTTTGTTTACTCTCTCAGGAATGTGCTGCAGTGGTACAACCTAGCACAACCGTAAACACTGAATCCAAGGTTAAGTCTATCATATGGAAACATCTGAGTGCACACATATGTACATTTCCAACATTCATTCCTCCACAGTAAATAAACTGTTTGCAACAAACTAGGCAGAAAAGTCTGCATCTGCAGTTACCTTAACGGGTGTGAAGTCTTAGTATCTAGTTACCACTATATGGAAAAGAGAGCAAACATGGCTTTGTAATTTGGTGACGCCAGTCCTTTAAATTATGACTGAAGAATAATAAAAAAGGTTGCATTTCTCTTTGGATTTGATTTCCAGCAGAAGAACAAGGCAGACACTTTGAGTGATGATAAAAAGCGTCTGTTTTTTAAGTGGGTGAGGTTTCCATAATGACTAAATCAGACTGAGGGGTAGCAGTGAGGTCAAAAAAATGGATTCCACATTGTCTACTGCACCAGCTGTGTCTGTGAAACAAAAGTAGTTCATCTAAATACCGTCCAGCCAGACTGGCCGAGGTATCAAAGTCTGACAGAAAGATTATAGAGGAACATATAGTGTGACATCTGTAGGTTTTAATTAAAAAAAAAAAAACATATCAACATAAAAGTCTATTCAAACACTATTAAAATGGTGAATGGATGTCAATGTTACAAAGAGTGAAAGCTCAAATTTCAAAAAAGATGAGACTTTGCCTGTGACCCAGACGAATCCTCTGAGCGGTCGGGTGGATGAACACTGACGTGGAGGTCTGTGCAACCCAATCCAGAGGTAAAGCTTTGACTCAGATCCCTGTGTCTCGATGGCTGACAGCAGGTCGTGGACGACAGCTGCAGCTTCTTGGTTATAAATCGTCGCCAAGGTCCCTCCGCGCTCTCGGCAGCTGCGCCCAGCCTCCCTGAAGGTCTTCTTCTGGAGGAAGACAGCGTAACATCCTTCTTGGTAACAGACTCCATCGCTCTCCATAAGCGGAACTTTCTCTGCTGGCTTCTCCCTCTCTGCTTCCTTCAGCCTCTGAGCTCGGCTCCCAGGAGCCAGACAGACCGTCAGCAGCCACAGCACGCACAGAAGACTCATCCTGCTGCAACTGCTGCTGCTTCTGATGATTGTTTGCATCCTCCAAGACATGAAGTTTAAACTACACCAACATCTAAATGAGAATGCCAGCCTTACTGTCAAAACAAATACTCCAGTAATGCAGCTGGTTTCTTTTCTGCTCTGTTATTGAAACTCACCTGAGCCAAACTGAGCTTCTATTGTTAGTTTTACAAATTACCGTTTTCCACTCCAGACTTAACTTTTTTTTAAAAGAAATAAATACATAATTTGGTCTAAAGGAGCTATTTGAAGCTATTTTTCTTTGCCTTATTTTATCTGGGATGGCCAGATTCTTCAAAAATTAAGGAACTGCAGTGTAAAATAAATCCATTCAAACTGCCAATACTGCTGCCTCAGAGTTTATAAGAGCTTACTACAAAGAATTAACCCCGGAATGTCCAATTTAGTCCAGTAGAGTCCAAAAAACAGTCCAGTGAGTTACCAGTAGAGTCCAGAATTAAAGAAAAACGATTGAATGGGTCTATCTATCCTTGAGCTAAGTCCAAAATAGATAAAGTTGATCCTTGTATGAATTTAGGTGAATTTCAGGGACAGAAATCCTGCACTGCATCTGATCCTGCTCAGGCTTTCAAGCCTCTGCAAAGTTCTGAGAGAACCTTAGGAGAAGAGAAAGATGGGGGTGGGGGGTTGGGGTGTAAAGGCGGAGAAGCTACGTAGAGGAAAAAGCAGAGGGGGCTGGTAAAGTATGTGAGACTATGAGGGAATAGTTGAGGGGATGATGGGTTAGTGGGGCTTGGGAGGTGGGGAGCAGGGTTGGTATTGAAAACCCTCAGAGTGTGTTATGAAAACCATACGGCACCATTCTGTCCCCCATCTTGCCAATGGCTTTGGACACACTTATGCAGTCTCACACAGCCTTTAAGCCCTGCACAGCATCCACAGGATGAAAAGTGTCTCCAGCATTGTGAGATGCAGAATTTGCCCCTCTTCTTCTGACTCTTTCCCCCACCTGCCTTTCAGATTTTCTTCCTCTCAGTCTGTCATCATCTTTTTCATTTCTCTCTTCGCTTCTATTTTTTTTTTTTACTCTTTTCTCATTTTCTTCCATTTCCCTCCCTCCTCTCTTTCCCCCGTCTTTCTACCAAGTCCATACCAGCTGGAAGACTTTACAGTCCAATGGAAACATTTGAGTGTGGAACAGAGGTCTACCTGTTGGACTGTGTGTTGGGTTCATTGCTGTTATAAAATAACTTTGAATGTGCGCAGATGTTTAAGAGAATGAGTAGGTGTCCTTGTGTGTGTGATTTTGTGTGGGTGTATGTGTGTGTGGTTGCCACTCGGGGGCATATGGAGGAGAGGAAACAGGAAATGCCAGATGTGCATCAGCTTGACCTCTCAGAAACTGGGGAGCAGGAGTGACTTGAGGGGGTACCTCCCGTCACATGATCTGGACGTGATGAGTGGCATGTCTGGAAGCAAAGTCAAACATTGAGATGGAATTTTTCCAAAGAAAAATACGATCTTTCTATTTTTCCTTGAGTTTATGTAAAGAGTGAAGCCAAAGAACATTAAATGAAGCCGACAGCTGCAATTTGAAGATTCAGGTACTGAAGGGAACGCTGCTGATGGGCACAAACAGCTATCAGCTGAAGGTCCACCATGCACAAGACTGCTGAACTGCTGAAAGCTAAAACACTGTATGGATGCTCATCGTGTTTCTTTGTGGGAAGCTTGACCTGCCACATGTCAATTACAAGCAGCTTTATGTCATTGCTTCACTCTCCAACTTTCCTCTTGGTCTGGCGTAAAAAGGCTTTTTGATACAAATTTAAACATGAAAGCATGATTTCACCTCTGTAGCCTCTTAACAAAGGATGATGGGATGGAAAATTCACACTGCATGCAAAGTTGAACTTATTAGCTACACATTGACTGTGTGGCTAATCCAAGCCACACATCCAAGCCCGTGTTTTCCCAGTGTACAGCAGATGAGTCGGCTGGCTGTGCTGTGATTGTGTTGGCAGGCAGACCATACACAATCTTACTATTCAGCAGTCTTTTCCAGTTATGTAACAACCACTGGAACTTGGGGGAGAACAAACATAAAACCTCGGGATCCTGGAGAACCTAAAGAGCCTTTCGATCTTGTTCCCCACCTCCCTTTCCTCCTTTTCAACATCCCTCATCCTGCTCCTGTCTCCCCACTTCTCCTGCTTTTCTTGGACTACCCCAACACTCAGCTGTTTCTCCCTTTCCTTATTATTCTTTCATTCCCCGTGTCTCTCCTTTATTTTTCTTTGAATTCTTTTGCTTTCCCCCCTCTCCTTCTTCTCCTCAGGTTTAGCTATTTGAGCAACCAGATCAGCAATCTTTTCTCCAGAACCCCAGTTTTCACCCCAAACTTCTGTTTATTCAATCATGGAGCCTGATTAGCCACGCCCCCTGGCCTTATAGCCCCGCCCCAGAGACAGATTCCAGAATTGTAATTGACAGAACAGACAAAACCTCTCCTTTCCATAGCCCTGCGCTCCCAATCCCCCCTCTTCACATTAATCTAAACACAGTGTGTCCAAGACGTCTAATGGAACATACAGAGCTCTTGATTTAATATGTGCCGCCCCCTAGGTCACAGCTTACTTTCTACCTCCTTGACTCCGAGCCGCTTGCCACATATCATTACTGGCTCTGATACATTCTCAGATTCTGGATTCCAAGCAGCTGAACTGTACCTTCCAGCTCCAAAACCTCTGCATTTCATTTTAACCACTAATTCATTTTTTAACAGCCCGGTAGCTGTTCTTGATCTGATGTTCTTCTGTGGCCACTAAACCTTATATGTCTTATATGTATTACACACTTTGGGCTCTTTTTTCCATAGGGAAAAGAACACGTGACATGAATTTTAATAGACTGCAAGAAGCTCACACCTCCCCTCAGCAGGTAAATTTTTCACCAAATTCCTAATAAACAAATGCAAATGCCAGCTGAAGCTAAATGCAGTGCCAGTGTTGATGCTTGCACACGGGCACAATGAAAGAAAGACAGAAATCTTACTTTTGTGAACATGAGTGTCTGCACCAAATTCCATTCCAGTCGGAGTTTGTTTCACTTAAAAATCACAGATGTGAAGGTCACGATGGCTTTACAGGGAAAAACAAAGGGATTGCCAAAGTCAGCACAGTTCATGCGGTTGAAACTGTGAACTTTGACCTTCCAGGGATAAGCCAAGACTTCTGGGGACCATAAATATATGGACACTAAATCATGGAATGGAATCCAGTAGTTGTTTGGCTTGAAACACTTAAAAACAATTAAACAGTTACTTCACCTTCACTAGGATCCCTTTTTTAAATGTGAAATATTCTCTCAGATGAAAGGAAGGAGCCCAAAAAGTGTTATTTTGAACTCACTGGACTAAACTGTGTCTGTTCTCCCAGAAGGCTGTTGGAAGGATCAGTGAGTCAGTAGGATAAATCTGGGCAGATACATTGAAAGAGCTCCAGATGCTTTAGCGGAGCTGCTCAGTGTCAAACAGATCGCCCTGCGGTTATACTGAGGAACTTTCAGGTGTGAGTGTGAGAGCAAGGCATTCCTGGCAGAAGAGAGCTCTGCTGGAAATGCCTTCACCCACATGGATTTTTACATTTAAGGACTGGTTGATTTTGCACAAGAATCTGTCAGTACAGAGTGCTGTATATAGAAACTTTTAATTCTTATGTTGTGACATAATTGAAATATATAAAAACACCTTGCCACCTTCCTCAGTGTTATTTCAGAAAGTCAGTAAAATATAAACTTAAGATAATATGATACAGTTGGAAACATGGAATAAATGCAAGGCTTTAAATGCTAATAGAGGCTTTTTGGGACTAAACAAATTAGTTATGCCTCTGTTCCTGAGCTCGTGTGATGCCAGTGAAACTGTTTAGTTATTTCCTCATGGTCTTGGGTCACGGGAGTACAGAATCGCACCATTCAGGCCTATTGCAGCATCTGTGCCATATCAAGTAGAGCAGGACACGTCACGTTGTTCATTTTTCCCAACCGCTGGTGTTTTAAGACACACACACACACACACACACACACACACTGAAACAATTAGCAGTGGCCTTGTGGTTAAATAATAGACTGTAGGCATTCCTGGTAATTTCAGTGGAGGAAAAAGAGGATACTTTTATCCACTTCTTCTACAACGTCCACATGCTTCATCTTTCACAGCAGACACAGATGCCCTCCATCCACACCCACACTGTCAACAAATCTATACCACAAACATCTGAACCGACCAGGGTCGCTCTCCAGTTGTTAAATCGAGAGGAGATCAATTCCCGTTGGTTATAGTCTTCAATTACTGGATCGATTAGCATCGGCTAAAAATGTATGGACGGTTTTGACAGCTGCAAGTCGGCAAATAAGCATTGAAGCTATGTCAAAGCAGTGAAGGTGTCTCATTTGATTTTTAACCTTTATGTATTAATAGTTAAATCATCACACAGTGCAAACATCGCCTCAACTACAGGCTGAAAATGCTAAAAAGTTCCTTCATTACTTGCTTACATGAAAAACAAGATAAAACATTCTCCACCAAACTCTGCAGGTAAAAAAAGAAGCTTAGCATAGCGAAATAAAAAGGAACATAAGTAGCAAAGGATAAGGAGGCAATGATTTATGTATTATTAACTGCAATAGGAGTCAGCTGCATGTACAGAATCACACATGTATAAACAAACCTCAGACAAACAGCGAGTCAAGGTTTAAAAACTGCTGAGAGGCAGAATGGGAGGACAGAAAACTGGGAGAGGATAATTCCTGAAAGATTATTTCTTTACCAGATGACAGGCTCAGCTTTTCCATAGACACACGCATGCACACATGGACGACACTTTTCTGCTCTGCATTTCACGATACAGTAATATTTCTCCAGGGAGGGAGCATTCGTGTGTGCGCGTGTGTGTGTGTGTTTGTAATGGCAAAAGCATCAACTGCGAAAAGAAAGGAGAGGACACAAAAGGAGAAACAAAGAGACAGACGGGCGTCTGATGTGTAGAACGGTCATGTGTCTGACTCATTTCTGCACCGTTTAATATCCTGGAAACTTCATATTTGGCACACATCCACGTCCCTCATTTGATCCGGGCTCATTTTCCTACTCTTTTTCTCTCAAAAAACAGCTTTTATAAAGTAAATAAGAAAAAAAGAAGTCTAACCAAAGTAAATCACTCCCTAAAACAATGCAAAAATATGCATTTTTTCCTCTACTGTCTTTGTTTAATACTCCCAGCAATGAAGCAGGTTCCACCTTTTTCTTTCAGAAGCTTCTTACAAAAACCTGCTGCCAAGTTTGAGTCAGTGCAGCAATGTTCCACAAATTTAGTAGACCTTGTTGAGCTGGAAAGATGCCAAGAGTCCCTGAGTTGAAATGTAGGAAAGCGAAATAGGGAAGGAGCATGCTGACAAATGAGCAGTCTATCCCTGAATAAATAAAGATCTGGAAAAAAAAAAGCTTTTTTAATCCTTTTAAATCTGAAATATTCAATCCATCTGAGTGTGACACCCACGGCTGATGCTACAAGGTGAAAAGGAGATGCTTGTATATCATACATCATGAGCCGTGTGTCATTTTCAGGTGCAGACAGCTGCAGTCGGATA